GAGAGGACAGGTCACACCATGCCCAAATGCCACACCTGAAGACATAGCAAGGTGCAGGAAAGCTATTGAGGATTCTAGCAAGGCTAAAAAGGCTAGGTTGACGGAACAGCATGAGGTTAGAGATAATGTTACAATTGATGTTCCATCAGATAAGGAAGATGAAACAGGGCTGCATGAAATTGAAAGCTCATCACAAGCAGTTGGTCCTATGGACAAGTTCACAAAGCCCCTTGATGCAAGTTCTTTGAGTAAGACGATTCAACCCAAAATCAGCGAGCATATAATGAAGGAGAGACTTCATAAATTGAAGAGATATGTTGCAAGGTGGTTGTATGTGAGAGGTATGTGATGGCAGTGTGCCATATATATATATTCAGTTCAAGGTTACTAGCATTAGTTCAAGTTTCTGATCTTGTTTGCTCTAATTTTCAGGTATACCTTTCAATGCCATCAATAACGAAGAATTTGATCAGATGCTTGAAGCTGTTGGTCGCTATGGCCCTGGTGCAAAGAAGCCTTACCAACATGAGCTGAGGGAGAAGTTGCTGCATGAGGAAGTTAGTGATACAAAGGAAATGTTGAAATTGCAAGAGAATGAGTGGGCCAAGAATGGTTTTTCCATTATGACTGATGCCTGGACAGACCAGAAAAGGCGAAGTATAATGAATTTATGTGTGAATTGCAGCATTGGTACAAGTTTTCTTGAATCAAAGGAGGCCTCATCTGAATCCCATACAGGGGAATTAATATTTGACTATGTAAACAGCTGCATTGTGGTCCAAGTGGTCACTGATAATGCCTCCAACAATATGGCAGCAAAGAACATGTTGTCTGTGGTGAGGCCAAACATCTTTTGGAGCTCTTGTGCAACTCACACCATCAACTTGATGCTGGAAGGTATTGGAAAGATGAAGAAGTTCAAGAGCATAGTTGATCAAGCAAAGTCACTTACTATCTTCATTTATGCACACCATAAAACATTGTCTTTGATGAGAAAGTTTACCAAGAAGAGAGACATCATTAGGCCAGGCGTGACCCGCTTTGCTTCCAATTTCCTCACTTTACAAAGCTTGTATGAGAAGAAGGACCAGCTAAGGATGATGTCTCAAAGTGATGAATGGGAGAAAATAAACCAAGTCAAGAAGAGTGCTAAAGGTGTGCAAGCCACAACCACATTAGTGAGGCCCAATTTCTGGAATGGTGTTTCTCTTTGCTTGCGGGTATTTGAGCCATTGGTCAAAGTACTTCGCATGGTTGATGGGTATATCAAGCCATCAATGGCTTTTCTCTATGGAGAGATCCTAAAGGCTAAGGAGGACATAAGGGTGGCTGTAGGAAATGTGGATAGGTCTGGGACTTTGTACAATTCCATCATTACAATCATTGATGAAAAGATGAAGGATAGGCTGGATTGTCCATTGCACAAGGCTGCATACTTCTTAAATCCGTACTATAGCTATAGTGATCCAACTATCTTTCAATCTGAGGAGGTCATGGATGGGTTCATTTCTGCTGTTGAAACATTTTATCATGGTGATTATGACAAGCAAAATCAAGTGTTGAATGAGGATGTGCACAAATTTAAAGATCAAGTTGAACACTTTTCAAAAAAAGTTGCTCTAGCTGGTTGTATGGACTTTGAATTTAGCCCAGGTTTGTAGTCTAGTAGCTTACTGATTACATTCATATTTATAAGTGATTTTCAGATCTATAATAATGAATTGCGTAGCTAATTTTCATTCTTGTGCAGCCAAATGGTGGGGAAACTATGGAACACAGGTTCGAACACTTCAGAAGATGGCTATTAGAATCCTCTATTTGACTTCAAGTGCATCTGGTTGTGAAAGGAGTTGGAGTTGCTTTGAAGGGGTAACACACTAACATTGCAAATCTGATATACTTTTATTTCTTTATTTAGTTCTCCACTTCACTCAATCTTATTTTTTTATAGATTCATAGAAGTAAAAGAAACAGGCTCACATGTGAGAGGTTGGAGCAGCTTGTCTTTGTTCGGTTCAATAATCTGCATGCTGACAAGAAAAAGAAGGCACAAAAAAACAAGAAGATGGATCCTCTTCTAGCAACTGAAGCAACACATGCTCAAGGCTGGATAGTGGAAGGAGAAGATGATGAAGACGCCGATGTTGAGCCGGTTACAGGGCTGACATGGAAGCTTATTGCAGAAACTTGTGGAGCTGAGGAGGTCACTAAACTTCGTAGAAGTGCAAGGCTGAATGAAACAAGAGAGATTGAAGACGATGTCCACTCAGAACACGAGGAAGAACAGCAAGTATATGAAGAAGAAATTGAGTTCGAGTCCGACCAAGAGGATGTGGTCATGACAGGCTACGGGGAAGAGGAAGAAATTGATGACTGAATTGGATCTTTATTTCTTGAGCCGCTACTATCAGTTTACCTTTTATGAGTCTATGACAACAATATATTGTCATTATGTTGCCTACTGGCCTTTCATGTTTCTGTTTGTTCTATGAACTAGAACTACCAAGTACCAACTATATGTCCTTAATTTCGTTGGCATGTTCTATGGATGTGTGTAACAAACTATGAACTTAGAACCTTGTCTGTTTTAAATGTGTTTGTTTATGCCATTGTCGTGTTAATTTCTGGAACAGTTTTGACTTTTGAAGTTCAGCAGTTTGGTTTCCTGTTAAATTTACTAACACTCATCTTATAAGTTATAATCTGCAGGCACATACATTGCTGAATTTGATATCACAGAGAGGGGACATCGAGAGAGAACCGGTCTACAAAAGGTGTGCAAAATCCACATTCTTACTAATTTATGTTTTTCAAAATGCAAATTCTGTGCTACAGTAAAAAAACCGTTTAGCCCGTTTAAACCGCGTTTAAATCGGTCTAGACCGATTAAACACTAAACTTTGGGTCACCGCCCAGCCTCCGTTTACCGTTTACGAAATCATTGCTTTCTGGTCCTCGGGACTACAAAATAGACCACCTTTCGTTTCCTTAGGATATCCCTCAAACAGCCTTACTTCTGTTCTCAGTTCCAACTTATCAGTATCGGTTCTCAACACATGTGTTGGACTACCCCAAATCCTGAGATGCCTTAGACTAGGCTTATGCCCAGACCACAACTCCAATGGTGTAGATGGTACTGATTTAGAAGGTACTCTATTTAGAATGTATACTGCTGTTTCTAGGGCATATCCCCAAAACGAATCTAGTAAAGTACTATAACTCATCATTGCCCTAACCATTTCCATAAGAGTCTTGTTCCTCCGTTCTGCTACGCCATTCTGCTGAGGCGTGCCAGGCGCAGTCAGCTGGGATGTAATCCCATTATCCGTCAAGTAGCACCTAAATTCATTCAAATTCATTCGAGAGATATTCGCCACCACGATCTGATCGTAATGACTTGATACTTTTTCCTAACTGCTTCTCCATAACTGCCTTATACTCTAAGAACTTCTCAAAGCATTCAGACTTGCGGTGCAGAAGGAAAATGTATCCATATCTCAAGTAATCATCGATAAACGTAACGAAGTACTCGAAACCATCTCTCACTTGAACACTCATAGGACCACATAAATCGGAATGAACTAGCCCTAACACATCTTCGGCTCTATGCCCCTTTGAACTAAAAACCCTCTTAGTCATTTTGCCTTCCAGGCAAGACTCACAAGTTGAAAAAGCCTCGACTTCTAATGACCCCAAGGGCCCGTCTGCTACCAAACTTTGAATCCTCCTAAGGTTAATATGACCAAGTCTTAGATGCCAAAAATATGATTCGTTCATTTTAGAAGGTTCCTTCCTCTTATTTAGATTAGATGATGAATTAAGTAATTTTTCTGTTGCAGTGGAGATGACTTAGATTCTAGAATGTATAGATTGTCAACTAATGAACCAGAATATATTAACTTTTTGCCAAAACGAATAACAACTTTATTATGAAACGTAGCGGAAAAACCGTTCATAAACAACTTAAAAACTGAAATCAAATTCTTTCTAAAACTAGGAACATAAAGACAATCTTTCAAAACTAGAAACCTATCTAAGCCAAAATCTAAATAGACGTCTCCCACTGCAACTGCTGACGCTCTACTAGCATCGCCCAAGTAGATGGTAACTTCTCCTTCCCTAAGTCGCTTGGTTTCCTGGAACCCCTGCAATGAATTGCAGACATGATCAGCGACCCCTGTATCTACACACCAGGTACTGGTAGATAACACCGCTAAACATGTTTCAACGACTAAAGCAAAAGGTGTACCTTTGTCGGATTTCCTGGGCAGAGGGCAGTTTGCCTTCCAGTGTCCTTTCTGCTGACAATTGTAGCACTTGCCTTTCGGCTTCTTCGCTTTTTGTCGAGGTTGCGCGTCACTCATGACCGCCTTGCCCTTTCCTGCAGACATCTTCCTCTTCTTGCCCTTAGAAGCCTTAGAAGTGGAAGCTTCTCCCCGCTGGGCCACCAGTTGGGTCTTCTGACGAAACAGGCCCTCTGCCGATTGAAGTTCAGCAACAAGTTCCAGAAGAGTCATCAACATCTTATTCATGTTGTAATTCAACAGGAATTATTCGAAGCTCTTCGGCAAAGACTGGATCACTATATCGACCTAGGTTTCCCCTTCAATAAAAGCCCCAAGAACCTCCAGCTCATTCAGCTGGGCCATCATAGCAAGAACATGTTCCCTTACAGGAGTGCCCTCACGCATGGTCATGTTCATCAGAACCCTCATGGCCTCTTGTCGGGCAGTCTGCGACTGATGACCAAATAACTCCTTTAGATTGAGGAGCATGTCTGCTGCAGTTTTCATAGACTGATGTTGATGTTGAAGTACATTTGACAAGGATGCCAAGATGTAACACTTCGCCATCTCGTCAGTCTTTTTCCACCGAGCATACTCATTTTTCTCTTGGTCTGGTGCATTGTCAGCAGGCACAGCCGGACAAGCCTCAACAGTAGCAAATTTGTACCCTTCAGCAATCAACACAATATCCAAGTTCCTTTTCTAGTCAATATAATTGGGACCAACAAGTTTGTTTTCTTTGAAAATTACGGACAACGGATTGAAAGACATTTTGAATTCCTGGGATCATGCAAACATAGTCTTTACTCAGTCAAGTAGTTTTTAATTTATACATCAAATATTGATCCCATGTAACAATATTCAAATAAATTCACCAACACCTCAAAACACCGAATCCCCGCAGGCCACGGAGTGTGGACGTCTACGGTTCAAACATTCGCAAGAGGAGGGATAAATCCCATTAGCTTAACATACTGCCGAGCAATACTTAACTAATGGTCGGTTTCATCTTTTGGCCAGTGCAATTAACTTTATAAAAGAATAAAAACGACCTTATCCTTTGGGACTATCGTAATTATTTGCACTTTAAGTGTAACCCATTAATTGTTACTAAGTTTACTACCAAAATTATACATCCACCTTTGGGTGACCCGTACGCTTTTGAAATAGCTCACTATAACCATCCCGAAGGAGATTCGTCCTTGTGAACTGTGAAATAAAACGTCCTTTGGGCTCGAATTAAATCACTTCACTGACAAACCTATAATGGAGGCCTTGGATGTAATTTATTTCAACCCATTACACACTTAATATAATTTTTATTTTATGGGATTTTCTAAAACATGTTTGTTTTTGCACATAAGCAATCACATAAAACATGCATGATTAATGAGCAATAATAAACTAGGAACTATAATCCAACTATCATGGCCATTAATCAATCTCCAATGTTACGGAGAAAACACAGTCCTGTCCTTGTTGAGTGTGTCCTCCGTTTCAGCTATTGGAACTCCCCTTTCGCAGTGACTCCCACTGAATTGGTCGTCTCCGGGAAAGTCGCCATTGGATCATCACCATGGCATCCGTGTACGTGTTTATCGCCTCGCCCCGTCAAGGTTGGTCCATGCCTGCCGGATCAATAATGAATAATACAAAACAATTATATAATTCATCCTATGACCCACGCAGGAGCCGTACATGAGTTTCTATGAAAGCAATAAACTATGCGGTGTCCCACCGCGCGAATAATTTATTACAAGCATTCACCAACCCAAAAATTCCTTGACATGTCCAAGGCTTTAAAAACATCATACATTCAACATGAATTAAAATCCATACATACGGGCCACAATAGTAGGATTCGAAATACCTGCAAAAACTTATTGCAATTTCTAATCTACTATGCCGCTGCCTCCGTACGCACATAATTCATGTAGACAGGCAAAGTCCAAAATTCAAAGTGTGCACGAGGTTGAATTAAACCTGGGCTATGATACCAGTTGTTAGGTTCTGTGAGGAACGTCAAACAACATGCACAGTATTGAACTTTATCGAAATAAATCCTAACGCAGCGAAATCTGTAGTTAGGATATGGACGTTTACCTTTTAAATTTTTTTTGCCGACTCTGAGGTGATGTAGAGTACCGTTGATGAAGTTCGTCTGAACACCACAATCTTAGGGTGGATAGATTTGGCCTTCAATCGATTCTAATCGATAGGTTCCACTAAAGTTGATCACACGGCACGCGGGTCTCGGTCGTCGGGTGCAGCGGGCAGCTCGTGCGCATCGGGCATGGACAGCGTGCGGGTACGCGGAGCAAGTGCGCGGGTCGCTTGTTTGTATCGTGCGTCGTGCGCTGGCATGCACTGGGGGGGGTCATGCGCGTGACCTGAGCACGCGGGGACCTGCGGTTGATCGCACGCGGGTGTGCTGGACACGTCTTCTAGGCGTCCGCGGGATGGTGAGCGCGTACTCCTTTGCGCACTGGGTATGCGCGAACGGCGACTGGCGAGATGTGCGGGCGAACAACAACGAGCAGGTGGCGCTGGGATTTCACGGGCATCGCATGCGGATGCTACTGGGAGTTCGGTGATGGGCCTGGCTGGGCGCGACTGCGAGCGACGGCTTGCGGTGGCGATCGGGTGGGCCTGGTTGACTTCCGACGGCGGTGACGGTTTCTGGCGGCAGAACACAGCGGCAAAAGGTGGCAGTTATGTGATGATGATGACCGGAAATATATGTATATTAGAGGCTCAATATATTGTACCAAAAAGCCTTCTAATAGATTACCTAAACACCTACTTCGATCAAACTTTGTGGAGCGTTTAATCGAATTTCCCTAACTCTCGAACAAAGATATTTCTCGCGCGTACGTAGAGGAGAAAACTGGCCAACACATCTATGTAGGAGAGATTGCGACATGGTGTATTTATAGGCTACATTAGGGACCTTAAGGAGGTGCTAAATATGGGCTTACCCCATTTAGGCCTAGGAATCCTAATTCTACTCCAATACTAATTTAATGTAGGAAGGAGATCTCCTACTAATCTCCATCTTCTAGAAGACTCTTAGTCTCCTAACACTAGAGGA